CAGTAGCAAAGCCCTCAGATGTCATATGAGGTTTCAGGTTCACTAGAAAAAATTACAAACCCTAGGCAAAGGAAATATTATGAAGAACAATCTAATGCTGGTCTGAATATTATGTGTTTGGAAAGAGCTTGATGCTGCCAGGTCAGTGTGCAATTGTAGGCACAAAGCCACAACTTCTCCACCCTCTTCTAATGTATTTGAGATGAATCAATTGTTTGCACCATGGCCAAAATATTATTTCTGAAGATTTAAGTTGTTTTTCGGAAATGTGAATAGAATCAGACAGTCACAAAAAAAAAAAAAAATAGAACTTGGCCTTTTCTTTTCTCAGGAGAAAAATTTAAACATATAGTAATTAACTCAATGAAAAATTCTAAATTCTTAGAAAGTGGAGAAGATACAACTCTTCCAGAGTAAGTGAGAAGCCTATTAAATACAAAACCGTGTAATTTAGGCTTGCAGGTTGAACAAAATGGTGATGTCACAGGGTCCGATACTGCAACACCTTATCCCTAATACCATGAATGACCCAAACTCCATGACTTCCTACCACTCAGATCCCATGCCTTGGAATCTGATATATCCTCAGTACTTACAGGCCATTCAATTCATGATTGGTGATCAGAAATTTAAGATGATAAAACTTCTCCTTTTCCCTGCTCTGGAAATGCTTTATTCTCATTGAACACCAGATACTTCTAATGGCTACAAATTTTTACTCACAGAACAAAAAGGCTACCCGTGGTGTACCAGTATACCTTTCCATAATTCCATTCACATCCTAGAAAGGAGAGAAGATATGATAATTTCCTCATTTAGAAAGCTTTCTCACATCTCCACTACCCCCTGATGTGCGGAAGGACGAATTTGATCCCAATGTGCATGACAAAAATGTAAATATAAGACTCATGCCAATCATCTCAGAAGACTAATGTGAAGTCGTCAAGTTCCCTAAAAAGAAGAAACATCTTTGAGTCATATGAAAGTATAGCAAGAGGTTCTGATATATGGAGATGGGACATGTTTATGAGGAAGAAGAGAGAGTGTGGAGAGAGAGAGAAAGAGAGAGAGAGAGAGAGACTCTTTCTCTTTCTTTCTTTTCTTCCTTCCTTCCTTCCTTCCTTTCTTCCTTCCTTCCTTCCTTCCGTTTTACCAAATA